ACCGAGAATGTCCTCAAAGAGGAAGTCGCCACCAACGAAGCTATCGGAGGGTGGGGGCGGTGCGGGTACAGTGTCGAGCGGAGGCAACGAAGAGGAGGAGGACACGGGCTCTTCGGTGGTGACTGCCGCTGCTGTTGGAGGAAGTGGTGGTGGTGGTAGTAATAGTGGTGCAGCCACCACTGCTACCACTGTTCCTGGTGGTGGTGGTGGCGGCAACGGAGAAGAGAACGCTGCCTTGGAGGTGTCGGTCCCAACAACTGGGACGAACGAAGAAGGTGGTCGTGTTTTGGACGTCGAAGAGTGTTACTCTCAACAGAGAGGAGGAGGCCAGGAGTGCGAGTCCTCCGGGTGTTCCTCGCCGGCGACAACCAGCGAGCCGGATCTTCGAGACTCGCCTTCACCTTCCTCGAATTCCACTCGTGCTGTCAAAAGGCAGAGGCTCCTTTTCCTTTCGAATCAAGAAAACGCGAATTCCGTATCTTCTACAGGCCCCTATCATCATCCCCATCATCATCATCACCATCACCATCACCATCATCATCATCATCATCGAGCGAATACGACTTCCTCCTCGACATCTTCCTTAACGGGCCTTCACGAGGCCGCTAGTTCCTCCGAGTGTGGTTCACCACCTACTCTTCTCAACGTCGACTCTTATTATCAACCACATCACAACGATAACAACAACACCGTTACCCAAAATAACAATCACAGTAACAACGGCACTGGCATCACCACCACCGCAACTACTACCGTTGCTAGTAAAAGATCCATGGACGACGTTCTCAAGAGGCTAACCTGTAAGATGAACAGCGAGTCTCTTTCCCTTCAGGACGATGTCACGGATAACAGGCGGAGTGCCACGCCCCCAACTGGACACAATTCGCATAGGTTTGTGTTGTTCTTGAAAAAGCTTTTATCAACAAGCTCTTTCGTTCCTCTTGTGTCTCTGTGTGGGTTTTTGGATGTGTGTGTACATTCGATGATCGTAGGAAGAAATTAAGGATGACTTTCGAACCCGAGTGAAATAACAAAATGCGAATACGTGGGATGATAAATTGTTGTGTATTGTGTCCGAGGAATAAGGGACCCGTCGCTCAAACGGAAATCACAAAAAGCTTTACGTACCTCGAGCTGTCTGAGAATTAACGGCTCGATAATTAGCATTTCCATTGGAATCATTTACTTCATCGTGATTCTTTACTTTTATGCGACAATTGACCTTTCTTTCGTCCAATTGACATTTCTTTCTTCCAATTGAACATTCAATCTATTATTCCGATATATTATTAACATTCTTATAATAATTATGAAAATTGATAAGGTAAATCAAGTAACTCATTTGATGACAAATTTGTTGAAATAATATGATCTGCCGAAATAAATCAGATATTACATTGCAAGATCATTTTTCAATTTTTAACTCGTGAATTTTTATCTAATTCATGTTGTTCACTCTTAAAGAGATCCATCTCGTGATCTATAAGGAATATATAGAGCAAATAGACTCTGTCAATTTCCGTTCTAATCAATTCTAATCAATTTCCGTTCCGTTTCGAAACGGTTCCGGAAATAAGAAAGAGAGACAAATATAGAGAGAGAGAGAGAGAGAGAGAGAGAGAAAGAGAGAGAGAGAGAGAGAGAGAGAGAGAGAGAGAGAGAGAGAGAGAGAGAGAGAAAGAAATCGTCTTCCTTAGAATCTTATTCCTGTTTTATGCCGATTCTTCTTGACGCTTATCATTTAAAGATAAGATTCGAGAAGAGTACAGTCTTACGTCGAACTTTGTTACGCAACATTTACATATAATACGTATAAATATATATATATATATATATATATATATATATATATATATAGATATATATACGTATGTGTGTGTGTGTATGTAAATCTATATTATATCTCTCTTATAAAACATAATTCGCAATATTCAAGCTATCCTAATCAAAAGTTAAGCGACAATATGATATTTTCATCGCGAAAGGCCATCATCTGTCAACCTTCTTTTTATAATTAGGATAGAAATCGTTCGAAATGGTCGATCCACTTCGCTTCATCTCTTTCGTGACATTTCTATTAACTCGATCGTACGTATAAATTACTACCAATGGAAAAAGAAAGTGAAATATTTATATAAAATTTTCATTCGCTCTCGTTCGTCGTTCCTTGTTTTTTATAAATTTATCATAAATCGTACTACTATTACTACTACTACTACTACTAATATGCGAATTCTGTCGCAAATGAAATGTTTGAGACGTCGACGTTTTTGGCTGAGAGTATAAATATGCCAACGCTTTCAATGAACGTTTCTTTAAAAGCGATCATTGTACTCATGGAAGAGAGAAATAGAGAGAGAGAGAGAGAGAGAGAGAGAGAGAGAGAATCATAAAACAAATCTCTTTTTTTCAAAAGTTGAAACAAAGCCACGACGATGGTAGAGAAATATAAAAGATTCTCGATAAAGCTTTCGTTAAGTATACTTTCGTATATATAATA